TTTTAAAGAGAAAATATAGAATGAGACAATTTACTGGTCACATTAATCTTGATCATTGGATGTGAAATTGGATGGCTGCAATTATTCCGTTGACCAAGCTCAAACTTCAAAAGGTAAATGGTTTCATTGTATACAATCCCTTTTTTCAATCACTGCTGCCAAATAATAAGTATTTGGTAAAACCAACATGGAGAAAGTTCTCGTTTTCGCTTATTCTATAACTAGTAATATGCATGTGCAACTTGCATGTGATATGAAACATTAATCACTAAAATATATTTATCACAGAAAAATATTTTCAATAAAATGTGGTCTTAGATATCATTGAATTTATCATCACAATTGAATAATTTTATGAAATAATTATAATTTTTTGAAAACCATGCCAGAAATAAATAATTCAGATATATTATTTGTGACAAAATACGATTATAGGGAGACTATAAATTTCAAATGCTACTTTAAATAGAGGAATCAATATTGATATAGTGCAAATGAAAAATAGTGCAAGAAAGCTAGAGGAGATGGGATTAAAATTCATAATTAGAAAATAAAAATTACTCAAGTATCTTCCAAAAACATAATTAAATCTTACATATGCTTCATCACATTTTTTTTGCTAAAAATGTAGCATTATGGTTACAAAAGCAATTTAATGTTCAAATAGTTATAAAAATTTTAAAATATAAAAATTATAATTAAAATACATATAAAGGAAAAATTTGAGATGAAAATAAATCTATACATCATTTAACATAAGAATCAAAAGAAAAAATTACCAATTTTCTTTAGCATTCATGATCTATGGGCCTTACCTAATAACATATAAATAATTTATTAAAAAAAAAAGTATTTCCCAATAGAAAGACCAAAAGAGACGTAATCCATTTGGAAATAGCGAGAAAAGCTAGAAGAAAGAGTAACATTAATAAATAAGTTATAGGAAAATTAAAATAAATATTATTATTAATAATATGATTCAATAAAATAAATAATAATAATAGTAATAATAGTAATAATAGCAAGGAATGAAACTTGAGTCGTTGAGCTCTGAAAATCTAGCCTCTACCATCTTGACCCAAGCACATTTCCTAACTATTATTGTTATTATTATTATTATTATGTTCAATTAGATAGATATATAGAGAGTGAGTGAGATCAAACCACTTATTTTCTATAATTAAAAAAACTACATTATAACTTGAAAAATATACTATACATAAATACAGACAAATAACATACATTCTACCTTTCTTTTAGATAAATATTTTTAACAAAGAAACCTGCTAGAGAGAGTGGTAGGACAGTCAAGAGAGCGAGCTTCCTCGAAGGATAAGTTTGGGTGTGAGGTTGGGGTGTGAGGGTTTTAGCTTTTTAAGTGAGAGATGATGGGAGATTTTTAAAGAGAGATTTAGAAAGGGAGAGATTGAGAGAGAGATTTTTAAAGAGGGCGAGAGGAATAAGAGAGAAGAGAGATTACCGAAGAGAAAAAGTTTCTTTTATAGGACGTGTTTGTTTTTCAAAAATTATTCTTTCAAATTTTGAAAAAGTTTTGTTTGTTGCACACTTTTCATGAAAAGTTTGGAAACTAATATTTCAACAAAAGCTCTCTTTTGTTAAAAAGTGAAAGATTAAGTTCCTAAGGTGGGAGGAACTTAATCTTCGAGAACTTTTTTTGTTGATCACTATTCACTATGCATAATATAAATACATAATATTAGTATTATTAATATGATATAATATAATATATTATTACTATAACATAATATTATATAATATAATATTATATTATATTTTTATTTTTATTTTATTAATATCATTTATATTATATAGTATGTATTGATTATATATGATATATAATATAATATAATATTATAAATTTATAATATTATATTATTTTATTGATTTATTTTATTAATATAATTTATATTATATAGTATATAGTGATTATATACTATATGTAATATATAATATTATTATATATTTATAGGGTACGGTTTGCATAGAACCTAGGCAAACAAATTAGAACCTACCTTCATATGGTGTCGAGAAATA